TCTCCTTTCCTTTAGCATTATATGCAAAAAAAAAGTCTATATTATGGACACAGACAGGATTTTTTTTAACCCTGTATAATCAAGAGACATATTGACATTTTTCCTTAAATTTTGCCCTAGATAATTTGGCAGTATTGAGAGGTCCTAATCATCTTAGAAACTGATTGCAATAATGCTGTAAAAGGGGTTTTTTTTAACATGGGGGGGGGACATACAGACAAACACACTAAAACACACACTTTTTGCAATTTGAGAGTTGCACTTCAGCATGTTAAGTTGCACCTGGATAGACAATCTTGGGAACTTTTCATTCCCTGTTCTGCGGGGGGGGGGAGGGACGTTCTTCTTTTATCCCATCGTTTCCCCCTCTGTCTCCCCACCCACCCACCCAAATTCAGTCTCTATTGATTAAGCACGGTTTGATATTTACAGCCTGCACTTCCTTCTCCCCCAGATCTTTCTAAAAAGAAAGTACAGTATTGTTTGCCAAATAATGGTCTTCCTTGTTAACTATCCACAAGGACAGGTTTTGCTCTGAAAGTTTTACTTTTAAATGCAGGAAGGTTGAAATGCCAGGACTTGTTTTTCGGGAAAGAAGGCATATTTATGGCATTCTGACCTGTTTTACCTAGCGTGCATGTAGCCATTGAAGACCACATTCAACACGGCGCGCTCTGCTGCCTGGCCCGGGTAGCTGGTGTTTTTCAAGGAAATCACAAACCTAAAAATAGTCTGTATAAACAACTGCAGAACAGTTTTGCCTTTTTTTTTTCCTACTTCGCTATTTGGAAATTTCTTGTACGTTCTCTAGCTGTGCCAGTGTATCCGAACCCATTGGCATGAGTAGCAAAAAACAATATTTCTAGGCAATTGGCTAGAAATAAATATTGAATATTTAATCTTGTGAAAAAGCAGACCAGTAATGATTGTTATGTTTGAATTAGCATAGCTGAAATGCAGGAGTCTAGCATATCCATTCAAAGCTCATAATAATTGCCATATTTTAACAGAGTTTATTGCTATTTGCCGGTTTTGCTTCTCCACTTAAAAATTATCTACTCAGCTCCCCCAGAAATATTGGTCCATTGATTTTATTGATTAAATCAGAGGTGGGGAACGATGGCCCCTTTATGACTTGTGGAGTTCAATTCCCAGAAGTTGAAATCCACAGGTCGTAAAAAGGCCATAGTTCCCCACCCCTGCTCTAAGACAGCATGGCTGGCTGGAGAATTCTGGGAATTGAAGTCCACAAGTCATAAAAGGGCCATCGTTCCCCACTCCTGGATTAAATGATTAATTGGTTATGTGCCGTCAAATTATTTTTGGCTTTTAGCAACCACATAGATTGATTTTCTCCTTAACAAACTTATCCTAACCTGGTCTTCCAATGGTGCACTCATCAATACTGTACTGTGTCTACCTACCTTGCTGTCGATCATCCTCTTCTCTTTCCTTCCACCTTTCCCAGCATTAGAGCCTTTTCCAGGAGCCTTCATGTAAAGTACAATAATTTGAACCTGATCATTTGTGCCTCAAGTGAGAATTCTGGGTTGATTCGTTTGTTCCACAGTGTTCTCAGGAGTCTTGTCCAATCCCAACATTTAGATGTGTCAATGCTCTTCCTATCCTGCTTCTTCAAAGCCCAACTTTAACTTTCATAAAGTGTCATAGAAAATACCCTGATTTGCACTGTTCTGATCTTTGTAGGTATAGTCACATAATGACACTTGAGGAGTAGTTTTAATTTGGACTGTTAGTTTATTCAGGTAGTGCCACTCAACAATCACCCATAGAAATCCTGTTAGAATTGCAAGAATTCTAAAGTAAAGTTGCCCTTGAGTCAAGTGTAATTCTGGTTGACTGTAGGGACATCTGGATGGTCTTCGTTTGGAGCAATGTGGAAATGGCTTGCTTTCTTCTATTGCCCTCTTCATGAGTTCTATTACATCCAAGCATAGAGTTCGACTTTTTGGTGTCCTCCCATCCACTCACTATCCAGGTCCAACCCTTCTCTGATTTTTTGACATCAGCAAAAGTTGGCTAGGTGCTGCCACCTGCTGTTACATCCAAGCTTTGCTCTTCTTTTCTTTTCTTTTCTTTTCTTTTCTTTTCTTTTCTTTCTCTCTCTCTCTTTCTCTTTCGCTCCCTCTCTCTCTCTCTCTCTCTCCCTCTCTCCATGTAAATTAACAAGTGAATTGAAACCTATTGGAGAATCAGAAAAAGATATAGTCTCCCTGCCTCCCCAAAATTTGGCATGATTTCTAGGACATTCAAATCAAGAATTTCAGGAATAAAGGCATTGGTACAAGGTGTTGGTGATAAAAATTCTTGCTAATTAACTGATGGGCTTGTAAATATGAAAGAAGAGTCATTTGGAAATTCCAGAAATCAAAAGTATGGTTTTGAAGCTAAGGTAGCAACATTATTCAACATTATATAAGAGGAGGTTTTGCTGAATTCCCTCGGATTTGCTTCTGAAAAAGCATGCATAATACTGTGCAATTTCAATCTGAAATTTTAGAAATAAGCCTCATATGATTCATATAGTTTTACAGCTGGAACTCAATTATTTGTCATTGCATTGTTATATTTTTGTTAATACTTTGACAAATATATATTGTTAAGATTTTATAGATCAACAAACTACCCCTACTTTTATTTTCTTACTATGTAAGTCCAGATAGATGGATAGAAAGACAAATATGACATTTACTGAGTCCATACCTATGTGCTTTATGTATAAATACGATAAAAATTAAAGGAAGAAAATAAAGATACATGATAAATCTAAATCGGGAATCGGCAGGCACGTTCACATAATTTTGCACTATGATCCATGTATCAGCATCTTCCAAGATTAAAAAAAATTGACAATCTTGAGAAATACTGGCCATTTAACTATTTTTTTTGCCAGGAGGCACCGTCTTTCTACAGGCAGTCCTTGACTTATGACCACAATTGAGCCCAACATTTCCTTTGCTAAACAATAGAGTTGTTAAGTGAGTTTTGCCCCATTTTGCAACTAGTCTTGCCACAATTGTTAAGTGAATTACTGCACTTGTTCAGATAGTAACGGGGTTGTTAAGTGAATCTGGCTTCCCCATTGATTTTGTTGTCAGAAGGTTGCAAAAGGTGGTCACATGACTCCGGGACACTGCCAGTTACCATGTGTCCAACTTTTGATCATGTGACCATGGGGATATTGCAATGGTCATGTGAAAACTGATCATAAGTCACTTTTTTCAGTGATGTTGTAACTTCATACAGTCACTAAAAAAAATGGTTATAAGTTGATCACTACCTGCATATGCATTATTGCCAACCCCAGTGTGCTGTTTCCATATTCAGACAATTGCTGTATCTGTTGTGACAAGGTCTAGATATTATCCAGGCTGTGTACAGTTCCAAGAAGCTACTCAGCAAACTTCCATTTTTCCATAGATTCCTCTTTTACATATGCCAATCTCTCTCTCTCTCTCTCTCTCTCTCTCTCTGAAGCTACTATGTTAAGCTGTCTTTCATCAGTGCCTGAAAGTTCAGGGAGGATTTGTAGCACCCGAGAACAGCACATAAACTAAAAATTCCCTCATTACTCATGTCTTCTGGCTACACATTGAGTCTGGTCTGCTGGAGCCAAACCGAATATGGCATGGATCCTCAAAATTTAGAAGAGGAGTCTAGAATGGTGTAATTCCTCTAATTCTTCAGTGGGCAGGGAATGGCATTACTGGACAGACCCCTATTAGCTTCCTTCTAATTTATATTTGTATTAATAAATAGGAAGTAGTTATCTCCAGAGCCTGCAAGAAAGCAAATCTAAGCAATATATTTATGATAGTTTGTGGCAATCTGCAGCTGAAAAAAATTAACATTGATTAATGAAGAGCTGACAGGATATTCGTTTATAATTGGATGCCATATGAATAAAATATTACTTTATTCTTTTGCTTCAAATTGCTCATGGTGTAAATCCTGCATCTTGTCCATTAGATTACTTATTCTCTCCATGTAAAGTTGTAAGCATCTCTTCAGTCATTACATAGAAGCAAGGTAACAAAGCAGACAGATGGATATTTGGATTGTAGACCCCTCATAATTGGCATAAATAATGATGATTTATTTATTATTATTATGTATTTTGCTACCCTGTATTCTTATACAAATTCTACCCCCTTTAGATTCCCAAGTTAAAAAATCGTTAATAAACACAAAGAAGTTTGGGGGAATAGTCCTAACTTTTGATAAAATACCTTCTGGAGTGACTCGGTATGGAATCGATTAATAGAATACACATGAACCAGGGGTACCATCCATGTGCTGCTTAGCTTGCAGTATCCTTGAATGTTACTTTGAATTAGTTTGAACAAGCGCTTTTTTGCGGCTTCTAATAATCGGAATGAGAGCCAGATCAATGTACATGTAGTCCTTGACTTACAAGCACTTGTTTAGCAACCGTTCAAATTTACAGTGGCACCGAACAAAGTGACTTACAACTGGTCACATAGTTAGCATTTGAGTGCTTGGGAACCAGCATGGATATATGCAGCATCCCGGGGTCATGTGATCGCCATTTGAAATATATCCCCGCCCGTGCCTCTGACAAGCAAAGTCAGGGGGGGGGGGGGGAAGCCAGATTCACTTTATGTCTTCACGATTCACTTAACAACTGCAGTAACTCACTTAACAATCATGGCAAAAAAAGTTTTACTCACCGCTTGCATAGCGGTGGAAATTCTGGTCCCAATTACTGTCATAAGTTGAGGACTACCTGAAGTGATTAAAGGCACAGGGCTACGTTTTTAATTGTGTTTTATGTTATGCTATATTATTGATGTGGTTACCAAAGTAAAACTTATTTAATTACTTATTTACAATGATCTAGAAACTGGAGGATTGTAGTCCTGCCCTAGGCTTTTCAATATGGACTCTTTTTAAAATTACAAGAAATTGTTGTTATGTTCTTGTGTAAACTTACCGGTGAAAATATTTTCTTCCTCTAGTTTCCTAGACAAGATTGACATAGTCAAGCAAAATGAATACACACCGTCTGACCAGGTGAGTAAAATGTCTTTGAGAAAATGAGGTTATGTTTCTTCAAAACATCTAGTCCTGTAGATTTCTTCTGTTGAAAATGTGAAAGTAGCATTGTGTTAGTAGTGTCTGGAACAAAGTAATCAGACCTATCACAAGTAACTTGGTTGACCACAAGCACTCGCCAGCCTATTCCAGGTCCCAATTCAAGTTGCGAGTTTTAAATTTTAAAACCCTAAACCAGGGGTAGGCAACCTTGGCTCTTTTATGACTCGTGGACTTCAACTCCCAGAATTCCTGAGCCAGCATGGCTGGCTCAGGAATTCTGGGAGTTGAAGTCCACGAGTCATAAAAGAGCCAAGGTTGCCTACCCCTGCCCTAAACAATAGAACTATGCAGCACTTCAGAATCTGTTCATAAATGTGCTTCAGAACTCATGTAAATGTGATTTCACTCTGCAGCTCTTTAAAGGAGCTAAACCTTTGTCCAAATTGTTTGTCATCTGTGGCTGCCATTTGATCCTAAAAAAGGTGTGGCTATTTTAAAGAATTGAAGGTTGGTGGTTGGGGTTGGTTGGTTAAGTGCCATCAAATCAGTATCGGTTGGCTCTTGGCAACCACATAGATAGGTAGACCTTATCAAAGATGATCTGTCCCCAACCTGGCCCTTAAGGTTTTCCAACAACACGTCTGTTTCAATTGTGATTGAAAGTATCTATCTCAGTGATGGCGAACCTTTTAGAGACCGAGTGCCCAAAAACTGGCCCCGCCCCCACTTCACCCCCCTGCCCACCCCCACTCTGCCCCCCATCCCCCGCCTGCCCACAGAACCACTCACCGCCTCCAGGGCCCACTGCAGATCACCCAGGCAGCCCAGCAGCGCTATGGCGGCCACACCCTCTGCCCACGCCCTGCAGCATCAACTGCATGATGGGGTGTGAGGGCAGAGTCTTGTCTAAGCTGCCTGGCTGCCATATCCTTGGCTGCGCTGCTCCGTGTGGGCCACGCTCGAGGGCAAGTCTCCTTCAGGGGGGCTGCTGGAGAGGAGGGGGTCGCAGAGGAGGCAAGTCTGGGGCAACGGCACATGTGCCCACAGAGAGGGCTCCGAGTGCCGCCTCTGGCACCCGTGCCATAGGTTCGCCACCACTGATCTACCTTCTTCTTTTTCTGTCTCCTCCCATGTTTTCTAGCAGGTTCCACATTCATGTCCCTATGCGTTCTAGAATACATTTTAGACTCAAATCCATAGCTTCACATAGTGCTAAGATTATATCTTCCTTCTGTTCTATCCTGCATATTCTCTTCATTTTTCTGAGCCCTGCTTTGCATTTGTAGTATAGAGGGCCCTTTTGTGAGACTTTCCAAACTTATTTAGTTGTTCGCCTGAAATGAGTGGAAACTAAAGATCAGAGTATGTAGAAAAAAAAGTAGGGAAAAATGACCCCAAGTCCTTTTCTCCCTAATCAATGACATATTTCTGAATGTTTTCTTTTAAGTAGTACACATTATGATTAAGATGTGTATGACATTGAGCTTAAAAATGAAGCTAATAAAGAAAAGAACTAATATGAAATGTAGAAAAACCTATCCCAGTACTGTCCCAAAGGTGCTTTTTCAAACGGCAACTAGACTTTGTTTTTTCCTTGAAGGCATTTCACTTCTCATCCAAGAAGCTTCTTCTGAAGAACTGAAGAAGCTTCTTAGATGAGAAGTGAAATGTCTTCAAGGAAAAAACAAAGTCCAGTTGCCGTTTGAAAAAGCACCTTTGGGACAACCATGATCTTGGATGACTGAGAATCTCCACAGACATTTATCCCAGTACTGAAAAATTTTCAGTTTTCAGAAGTCCATGAATATGAGTATATGGTGAAGAATCAGGAGAAACTGCTGTCATTCCTAGAACGCCATATATAGATGATGAGTATCCCAAGACATACTGTTGTTGTCTCTTTTCAGGTTGTTGGAAGACCAAGTATAATGTTGCTGATGTCTTCTGTTTTCAACTTTAACTTTTTATCTGCCAGCTTTTTTCTAAAGCAAAAATGAAGAAAGGCTTCTCTTTTTTTCAAATTAGGCTGCATTTGAGCCCATTCGGGGGAAAAAAAATTAAAATCTGATCCATAAATGAATAATCATTATTCATATATGCTTTTCTGTTTTATGGGGAGAAAAACCTTATTGTTATAAGCATGTACAATTAACTTTTATAAACAATAAAGATGTTTTTTTTATCATAGAGGATATTAAAAATTAACTATTATCTATATTTCGTTTTTACAAAACTTCTTTTGCTCCACGTTTTTCAGAAGTTTTTATCTCTAATTATGATCCACATCAAAATGAGAGGCGGTTTTAGAAATGTGACTGTTTTCCATGGTTTCAAATTTTCCTTTGTGTCATGGTTTTCTGAGCTTTTGGGTTGCTGTTTTTATAAACTGATTGTTTTGTTTCCAAGATGTTGGTATATTTTAAACAGTTTCTTAACTTCACAAATTTTATTTATTATGATAAGCTACTTTGTGTTGCTTGGTAGGACTGGAGGAAATGGAAGAAAAAATATGAGATTAAAAACCTGCGGTATAAATTTTATATTACTGTACACTTTTTACAAACAACCTAAAGTTGTTATTTCATTGACCCATTGTTCCCTGAGGCTTGTATTTTTTTAAAATAGAATGTTCTTTTAAGGGAAAAAAAATCTCTTATTCTCTTTTTTAAAAAGGACCTTCTTAGATGCAGAGTTCTGACATCAGGAATATTTGAAACCAAGTTTCAAGTGGACAAAGTAAATTTCCAGTAAGTATCATAATGGCGGTTCTTAAGTTGAAACTGGGAGTTAAAACTAACAGTGAGATAGTAAAAATGTGCAAAATATTCCATACTATAGTGATCCAACTTCAGAAACAAGCCAAATTCAAGCAGGGTTTTTCCTGTATTTCTGGAAGTAGCCATGGCTTATAGCCAAACAACATTTGGAATAACATAAAGCACTTCAGCATCCAAATAGTCTAATTTAGGAAATACATTAATACCCTGTCCTGCCCCCATCCTCTGTGCTTGTATTGACCCATTTTGGAGGAAAACAAAATGTTCCAGAAACCTGTCTACAGAAACTTAATACAACTATGTTGTGGTAATTAAAAAGCATTGTTCAGTTCTGTCCTATTTAGTCATCTAAATTAGTATTGAGAGCCAGTTTGGTATAGTGGTTAAAGTTTCAGGCTAGAAACCAGGAGATCATGAGTTCTAGTCCTGCCTTGGGCACAAAGCTAGTTGGGTGACCTTGGGCCAGTCACTCTCTCTCAGTCCTAGAAAAGAGGCAATGGCAAACTACTTCTGAAGAAACCTTGTCAAAAAAGCTGCAGAGACTTTTCCAGACAGTCTCCGAAAATCAGACACAATTAAAGAGAAGAAAAAAGTTGGTTTGAATTTTTTTTTTTTTTTTTTGTAAACTATAAAATTTTCAAATAATGCAAATTCATAACTACGGCAACTATAATGAAAATTTCACAACTACCCAAATAATGTACTTCAATTTTTAACTTGCAAAATTAGCTATTGGGGGAAACACCTTCAATGAGCAGGCTGCAAAGACATTTGGAATATATATATATAAAGATAGTCCTCGACTTACAACAGTTCATTCAGTGACCAAAGTTACAACGGCACTGAAAAAAGTGACTTAGGACCATTTTTCAGTTACAACCTTTGAAGCATCCCCATGATCATGTGATCAAAATTCAGATACTTGGCAATTGGTTCATATTTATGACCCTTGCTGTGTCCCAAGATCATGTGATCACCTTTTGCAACCTTCTGACAAGAAAGAAAGGTTGTAAAATAAGGCAAAATTCTTAACAGATGTCTCACATAACAACAGAAATTTTGGGCTCAATTGTGGTAATAGGTCGAGGACTAGCTGTATTTAAAATATTGTCAGTGCTTGTTTTTCATAATTCTAATGGCATTTTTGTACCTCAAGCTGTTGGTGGACGGAGGTGTGTTTAATAGTCCTGCTTTCCTGGTTCTGAATCCCTCACTTTTTTTTTCTTTTCAGTATGTTTGATGTTGGTGGGCAAAGAGATGAACGTCGAAAATGGATCCAGTGTTTCAATGGTAATATTGGGAATTTGTTAAACCTGTGATAGACCGTGAATATCTCCCATGTAATATGAACTGTATATTATATTAATGTGGAAGGTCCAGCTTTCCAATTATCTAAATACCAAATATCTACTATTTGACATTTGGCATTTTGAGGTTGTCTCCATACCAGCTCAGCTCTTTAACTCACTTGCAAACCTCCACTTCATTTTGCAATGTCCTGTTCTTTGTTTTCAGCATGTAGCTGTCTTTATAAGTTTTGTTTAGCTTCCATCACTTGTGATTAAATTACAAAAGGTGAATGGATATTCATCAATACATATCTCTCTCTCTCTCTCTCTCTCTCTCTCTCTCTCTCTCTCTCTCTCTCACACACACACACACACACACACACACATCCACACAAACCCACTGAACTGCATATTTTATTCCTTTCTGTCAATCTACAGTATGTATCCTACAAAATATCTTTTTTCCTCCAATCATATTAGAGCTGTATTTTAGTTGATTTTTCCTCCTTCTATCCTTCCCTGCCTCCCTCAGTATCTTACTTATTTTTGTTCTTTTGAACTTATTCTTCTCTAAGTGATTTGCTCATATTTGAACTGTTCGCCTTTTCCCTAAGCTGTTCTTTTCCATTTTTTCTTTTTCTATCTTTTTCTCTTTATGGAGCCGAATTAAAGGAAAAAATTCAAAGCAAAGATTATTGATTAAGGATGTTTTCCTTTGCTTTTGTTTTTTAGATGTAACTGCTATAATATTTGTGGTAGCCAGCAGTAGCTATAACATGGTTATACGAGAAGACAATCAGACCAACCGGCTTCAAGAAGCATTAAACCTCTTCAAAAGTATCTGGAACAACAGGTCCGTCTCTTTAGTTTTGATCATGACATTCATAATGCTAGCTTACGTTTATTTCTGACTGTGCTAATATAAATTCTAAGAGAGTGTACATTATTTCAGTGGAGTATGTTTTTTAAAAAAATATATATTTATTTATTAAATTTAGATGCCACCCTTCTCACTATCAAGCAACTCTGAACAGTTAATATAATGCCCAGAAGATTTTGCTTTATGTTCCTTTATGCCTTGTTTTATTGCCATTTAACAGTATATTGGCCTGTTTCTCTAGGTGGCTACGGACCATTTCAGTTATTCTTTTCCTGAACAAACAAGATTTGCTAGCAGAGAAAGTTTTGGCAGGCAAATCAAAAATTGAAGATTACTTTCCAGAATTTGCTCGTTACACCACACCAGAAGATGGTAAGAAAGTTGACATTACACTTTGAAAAAAATGTTTTTCTCTGTTATTATAGAAGAAAAAAGTGAGAGAAAGAAAGAAGGGATTGATTTTTCCTGTCTAATCTTTATGTGATAACAATTGTGTATAAAAATTGTGATAAACAAGGTATAAATGTTATATACAATTGTTATAAACAATGTACAATTGTTTGTACTCTTTTTTGTGATCACCAGTTGTTATTATGTTTGATGCAGTTCTCTTTCTCTCAAACCGCTTGCAGTATAAATCAGACAAATGCTTGACCCAGGATGGAGTATTGTCATTGATAGGCGTCTGTTAAAAATTATTCAGAGTCAATAATTTTCAGGGTAAGCAAAGAAGAGCCTTCCAAGTATCATCAATCAAAGTACTGTAGCCTAAAACCCGGATATTTTTCCTCTCTGAGACAGAGCAGAGTATATTAACCAAGAGGATTCCTTCTGTTAACAGAAAATTTTGCATGAGCAAAACAGTCTCCGATCCAGTGAGATCCTTTTTTTTTTGGTACTCTTTTACAGTAACATTTTATGATCCTGTGTAGTTTCTTGACTGGTTGACTTTTTGAAGTGATTATTAAGTACATCTCTCTTTCTGTAATGGAAAACTGGAGATCTCTGCAAGCAGGTCACACACAGTTCCCCAACACTTAAATTGTGGTTCCAGAATATCCCAGATCACAGGCCCAAAATCCAGTGACAAACAGTTAACATAGAGGTCCCCAACTTTTCTGCCTTTGCAGACTAGCGGGAATGGGTGGGAGAGGGGATGGTTCCTCGCGAATGGCAGGCAAGCACGCACAGCTCTATTTGCACGAGCAATGGGTACCCGGGCTCACCACTCACGCAAATGGAGCGTGTATGTATGTGTCTGCCTGCTGCTCACACAAACGGGGATGCATGCACTTGCCCAGTTCCAAACAACTCAAGACCCGGTAGTTGGTCGCGGCCCAGGGTGGGGACTCCTGAGTTAAGTCATCTACTAATTTTCAAGCCTGTCTTCACTGATGCTTCATCTTACATTTCTTAAGATGAAAAAATAAAAATAGGACAACTAGTTTAAAATAATATGTTTACCTTTTTTTGAATTTCAGGTCTTTATCTGAAACATTTTAATTAATTTTAAATGAATGAGTCTGAGCGAGATTTATTTATTTATTTATTTTTATTTATTTATTTAGAGAATTTATATAGCTTCCCACTCACTTTCAGTGACACTAGGCAGCTTACAAAAAATAAAACCCCAAGATGCAAGGATTAAAAACAATAACCCCCTTTTACTTGAAATAGTGTATCTTTGTTGGCGTTTGGTTAAAGCCATTTGAATGCAACAACAATAACGAAAATGCAGTTTCCAACTGATCCACTCTTCTAATAATAGGCAGCCCTTCCTACAATGTGAGTCTATATTTAAAGAGGCATTTTGCAATGCTTATGCTTTTTCATGGAATGGTACTAAAATGTTTTCTTTGATCCCTCCTGTGAATCCAAACAAAAGTAATTCCTATTGCAAGATAACCTTTTTTTTTTTTGTTCTTTACTTTTTTAAAAATGAGCAGCAACACCAGAACCCGTTGAGGATCCTAGAGTTACAAGGGCCAAGTATTTTATTAGAGATGAATTTCTTGTAAGTACTCTTTCTTCGCTGTTCCTGTTTTTATCAAACATAACCTTGCTCCTGCTGCTTTTACAGTCAGCTGCTTTCAACATTTAGAGCTATTTTACTTTTTTCTTTGAGAAGCGTCTCAGTAACTGCACAAAACAGAGCTGCCATTTGAGAAACGTGGATGTGCATTTCTGAGATAACGTGATTGGAGTGACAAAGTGTTTTAACTTGCGACACCACAGATAATCCTCACTTACCAACCACCATTGGGATCAACAGTTCCAGTGCTAAGTATTGTGGTTGTTAATCAAAAAAAACATACGACATCACTCTGCTTCCATCATTAAGTGAATCCCAGATTTATTAAGCGAGGCATTGTGATTTCACTTACAGAATAACAGAATTGGAAGGGACCTTATGGAGGTCTTCTGGTCCAACCCCCTCCTCAAAAGCAGGAAAAACTACAATTTCAGACAAATGGCTGTCCAATCTTTTCTTTAAAACCTTCAACATTCTCCATTGATTCTGCTTCTTGGAGGCCAATTGTGAAACTTGCAAATGGTGATCACATGATCATGGGATGCTGTGATGGCCATAAATGTGAGGACCAATCACAAAGCTATTTGTTTTCCAACCACTGTAACTTCAAACAGTTGCTAAACGAGGCAGTTGGTAAGGGAGGACAGTCGGTACAAATAATCCTTGACCTACGACCACAATTGAGCCCAAAATTTCTGCTGTTAAGCAAGACAGTTGTTAAGTGAGGTTTGCCCCCATTTTACGACTTTTCGTGCCACAATGTTAAGTGAATCACTGTGGTTGTTAAGTTAGTAACATGGTTGTTAAGTGAATCTGGCTTCCCCATTGGCTGTACTTGTCAGAAGGTTGCAAAAAGGGATCACATGACCCAGGACACTGCAACCGTCATAACTACCAGTCAGTCGCCAAGCATCTATATTTTGATCACGTGACTATGGGGATGCTGCAACGGTTGTAAGTGTGAAAAGCAATCATAAGACACTTTTTTCCAGTGCCATTTTAACTTCAAACGGTCACTAAATGAATCATTGTAAGTCAAGGACTACCTGTACTGCATTTTGACTTTTGTCACTCCATCACAGCTCACGGAATTTAGAAGTCCTTCGGAGCATTGAATCATTATTTTAAATCTTTTTTTTAATCACAGAAGAGTGATTAAGAGCATGGTGGATTTGAACAAGGGTAATTTGTAGCTACCTAGTTAGCCAACAAAATCGCATATTTTTAAATTCTCCAGCCAAATTTGTTGACCGGTTTTTCCAGAGCATTTGTATTTAATCTGTATTTGGCTGGGCAGATCAGATTCTCAGAACTTTGGGAAAAGGAGCCTAGAGAAGGGAGAAGGGTGGTGGTGGGGGGAAGTGGATAATAAGCTAGTAAAACTGACATAACCTTTCTATCTGCTGCTCTTCCAGAGAATCAGCACAGCCAGTGGAGATGGACGGCATTATTGCTACCCTCACTTCACCTGCGCCGTAGATACAGAAAACATTCGGAGGGTTTTCAATGACTGTCGGGACATTATTCAAAGGATGCATCTTCGTCAATATGAGTTGTTGTGATGGAGCGCACTTTTTCCCTCTGTTTTGGACTCCTTGTTCCTTATTAAAAAGAAAAAAAAACCTGGCCCACATAGGGTGGAAGAGAACTGTTGCAGTCTCTCTCTGATTTGCATCCCTCAGTCTTTTTTCCTTGCTGGACAAAGAGCAGCCTTTCTAAGCTGTCTTGTTTCACCCCCTTGGGACGGTCGGAAATAGTCCCTGCAAAGGTCTATTTCTGCGGTCAGGGTGAGGTTTCTCTCTTTAACACGGCCCTTACAAACGAAACAAAACCCAAAACATGCAAACAAAAGAATAACGCCCGAAGGGTGAAGCACCTGAGAGGATTTGGGATTTCAATTAAATATTTAAAAGCAGACAAAAAAAAAAAAGAGGAGGAGGAGGAGGGAGAACTTTAGGTAATCATTACTGTTGTGGGCATGATCATTTATCCCATGATTTCAACTCTGTATCCATTCACTGCATCCAACTAAGGAAGGTGCCAAGTTCTAAAGGCAGCCGCTTCAGTTTGGGTTTTTTTGCCTCTGAATGTGACTTTTGGGTGGAAATACTGACATTTCTACGGCAAACCTAGACAGTAGAAAAACCAACTGCTACCTTCACAAAAGTGTTGCTGAAGCATGATGGTCCTGACTAACAGGGACGGTGCAAAATGAACTGCATTATAGCCTGTGATTGCAGAAAAGATTTAACCACACACTGTTTTCAGTTTGTCCACTGTTGATCCTATCTTTTTATTTTATATATATATATATATATATAAATCTTTATATATATATAAAATCTTCTTTTCTTCTTCCTGTATCATTCCCCTTCTTCTATTTCCTCTTATCCTCCCCCCATGCCTCTCCCCCCCCCCAGTTTTTATTTTACTGCTGGATTATTATTCTTGTACAGACTGTAAAATGTATTATTTTGTACAACTTTATTGAAAAAAAAATAACTTGTAGAAGATCTTTGTGCCTTGATTATGGCTGTACCTGTGCAATGAGCTAAGATGTAAGTATGTTTGATTGCGCTGTACAGCTTTGTCAAACCTATCAGCAGCATTCGCTCAAGGTAGGGAAAATTTATCTGTAGTTTAGGGATTTTTTTCTGGTTTATAAAAGGAGGAAAAAATACTGTTTAGTATATTAAAAAAAAAAAGTACAAATCGTGCAAACTTAACCACTTTAAAAGTGAGTTCTACAACAAGTGAGCAGATGTTTCAGCATCATGCTTTTTAATTTTTAGCTTTAATTCATTTAAATCTCTATCCAAATGCAAAACATGGCTTGTTTCTACATAAACCAAATTTTGCTACAAATTATCAATGTTAGTCTTTGTCATTCATAGTATTTTTTTGTGCAAAAAAGATAAAAACAGAACAAAAAAAATCTAATATTATAGGCAGTGCACAGGCCTAGAGGCTGTCTTCATGCTGGGTCTGAGACTTTTCCACCCAACACTATTTCTCTACAGGCGTAATGATAAAATGTACGTTGCCCCTGGATCTGGTCACTGAATTTCAGTTTCAAATGACATTTTACTTCTCTTTTAATAAAGAGATAACTTAAAACATTGTTTTATATTAACTATATAAGTAGCTTAAAGTGGAGACGTGTGGATTTTTTTTTTCTTAAACTTGAATAATTTATGCAAATTATATGCTTAGGACAACATGTGGTACAGTTAAAAAAAAAGCAAAAATCACTGTAGCAATAAGACAGCATGTAATTTTAGTAACTATTACACTGCTTTATATTTTATACTTAGATGTTTCATGTCTTTATGAGCATATTACTTTTTCATGTGTCTAAACCTACCTGTACAAATTTGTACAAAGTCTAAAATTACAGCTATAATAACACGTCTAGAACAGTGTTAGCCTACTTTCCTCAAGCCCACTTCTTGGCCCCTTGAAATAGGGGAACATGGGTCTTAATACAGCTATTATTTTTTAAAATTGCCTTTTACACACGTGCTTCTATTTTCACAGGGCATCACTTTAGCTTCCCTGTTAGGAAGGCATCCCCTTCAGAAGCTGTCTTATCTCCCAAATTTCTGCTGATGACAGAAGTCTTTGTGATATGCAGGGACTGTACGTATTCTAGCTTTATCACATGGACAATTGGATTTTATTGAGAAAATGCATTTCCCTAGCAATTTTCACTTTTAATAGACATGAAATGGTAGTGATAATTCAGTTTTTAGCTGATTGGCGCCATTAGCCAATATTATGATATATTTCTCCCTCGTAGAATAGGAACAATTGCAATGTCTTTTACAAAATTCCTCTTGGTGTTGGCCCTCCATGCATAAATTTGGGGTAATAAGGGCAATCAAGGGAAAGGAGCACATCTTTTCCGAGTTTTCCTTTTTGGTTTCTGCCACTGCAGTATCCAAGATCAATGAGCCACATCAGATTTTAAGAGACAGCGTTTGTCTCCTTGGGTGTAGGAGTTGAAGCTGTTGAATAGTTGGCAACAGTTGACTGTATCTGCAACAGAGCCTTTGGATCTCAGCCTATATCCACTATTAAGTGGATTTAAATGATCAGATTGTAATTGTAAAACATTTTGAAGAGGTACTGCCTTGTAAGCATTTGGAATCAGTGGCAAAGTCTGACCCAGAAATTTATTTTTAGTTGGTGCCTGATGGGGTTTTGGGGGGGAAAAGACAGAAAATCTATAAACTAGTGTTTCTCAACTTCAGCAACTTCAACAAAGTTGAAGTCCACACAGCTTAAAGTTGCTGAAGTTGAGAAACACTGGTATATATACACATGTATATGTATGTAAATGCACTCTCAGACACATATACACAAGACTATGAAATGTGAGCCTTAATTTTTTTTTTTTTTAACAAAAGCCAAAACTTGTTAAGTTTAGTGCCAAAATTATTTTATTATCTCCTAGGGAAGGGAAGAAGATGAATAATAATTAAATGAAGTATTTACAAGGAATGTAATGAGTGATCTAGGAAAAACAAAATATTGCCTCATCTTTAAGGACACTTTCGATGAATAGATAAAAATTTATGTAATAAAGTATATCTGCGCGTGTGCATATGTGCACACTTACACACATCCCGTTAAAATATACTTCCTATGGAGCTTTATATGAATGGAAACATTTGACAGATTTAAAAAAAAAAAAAGTTGGGTTGGAGGGAGCAGTTTGGTTTGCACATGTCTAGAAAGAAAGTGAGTGTGTGTGCGCGTGTGTCTTTCTGCCTCTGTTAGCACGTCTCTGAGTTTGTGCAATTTGGTGGCCTGGTAACCGCAAGTCTTATTTTTAACATTTTTCTTGTTTTGTTTTTCTTTTCAATACAAAAATCCCATAAAGCTTCAGTGCTTGCTATTTAGTTCTGTGTTTTCTTCGGTCTCTAATTTAATTGCCTTAACTTTGGAGTTAGTTGAACTATTTCCATCTAATCTTCACCTTTTCCTTCAATTTCAATTTCCTATTTATTTATTTGAACTTTTGGTTCAGGTAAATTACCATGACTGGGGAGCAAACTCGTTTTCACTGGTCCAGGAACTTCTGGTTTTTAACAGCCAAGTTATTTTTCATATTTTTCTAAGTATTTGTCCCCATCCTAAAATGCACCATACCCCATAGCACTATCTAGTAAAACTGAAGTGGATTTTTAGGGTTACATGCATCATTGTAACTATCAGGGCGTGGCTTTATCACCAATAACAGTGCTATCATGAAAATATTTCTTCCCAGCTACATTTCTGCAACGATTCCAACAAACGTAGTAGGGATCCCCTGGTTTTATTTATTTTTTTCAGCTCTTTGGATGAATTTAGGCTGCTGCTGTTTCATGTTTTGCAAGTGTGTAAATCGAGTGAATTTAAAACATAACATGCCATACTAGTCCCCTACAACATTGACTGACTATTTGACATATTTTGTACAAAAAATAATAATAAATTGTAGAGATATTTTCAAAACGGATCTTTGTAACCAGTGGATGTTAAAATATTGCACATGATGAAAGGTGAAATGTACTATTTCTTGAGTACTTCTCATACTAAGATAAATATCCTGGGAATGAAAGAAAAGTTAATGCAAAACTTTGTAGAAGCCACCCAGGTCATAATGAATAAGCAAGAATCATACAGGTAGTCCTTGACTTGCAAAAGTTTGTTTAGTGACCATTCAAAGTTACAACAGCACTGAAAAAGTGACTTATGGCCATTTTTTACACTTAACGACAGTTGCAGCATCCCCGTGGTCATGTGACCAAAATTCACACTCCTGGCAACTGACTCATATTTATGATGATTGCAGTGTCCTGGGATCGTGTGATCACTTTTGTGATCTGACAAACAGAGTCAATGAGGAAGGCAGATTCACTTTACAACTGGGTTACTAACATAACTGCAGTGAGCCACTTAACAACGGAGGCAAGAAAGGTCGTAAAATGAGGCAAAACTCATTTAATGTTTCACTTAGCAACAGAAATGTTGGGCTCCATTGTAGTTGTAAGCCGAGAACTATTTGTACTCGGTAACAACTCTTTTTAATTCTCCCTCTCGTCTCCAACCTTTTTTGCTATTCTGTCTCAGTAGAATAAATTCACCTGTATTTTGGAGTGGCTTAAGACCAGATTCTGGAGAAATGGCTCCTACCTCAAAAGATTCCTTAGAACTGACTGTTCTCTCTGCAGCAGTTCAAAAGACGCTCAATTATCCTGCCTATTTCATAGTATTGTACCCAATTAGAATATGGAACAACCTATTGCAACATAATCCTTCATGAAGTCTTAAAATGATTTAATACCATGCTGTGCAAAGTTTATTGGTGGTATAATGCAGTCGAATAAATAAAAAAATTGCATTATCACACTGCATTCAAATTAAACATGCAGTCATGGTATGACAATAAATTCCCCTGACCATTTTCAATCGATCAAAACATTTTCTTGAGAGTTCAGTAAAGATGGGAATAGTTCTTTAGACCAGCATGGATTAGATCTTGTTTTGTTTACTGTAAAAATGCACAGAGTGAATGAAGAAAGAAATAGACTGGATAGAACCTTGATTATTATTTCAAAGATAATCACCATGGAGTTACATACCATCAAATCAATTGTATGTACCTGCGTTAACTCGACTTATATGACTTCAAAAACGTTTTCCTTGCTGACCTTAAGTAAGTAGTGTATGATCCAGGTTTTATAGCAAGAACAGTGATCTTGCTGTGTAATATAAAGCAGTTCCTGAAGATTCTGGGTTGTCTGGTGTTTCAGACAACTCATACTGGAATCAAAGAATGAAAATTGGATTTTCATTGTGTATTAGTAACATATCCTTTTGTTCCTTGTCTACAGAAGTGGTTCCAAAGAATTTTTTTTTTTTTTAAAAAAGGGGGGAGTAAAGCAACTAATTTGGTTAATAGCCTTCAGACAGAAAGATTACTAGCCTGATACTCAAAGTATTCCAAAGTTGATGTCTCACAAATCTCTTTAGACAACCAGTGTGCTAACGGGACATCATCATTGAATAGAACGGTGTTTCTCAACTTTGGCAGCTTGAAGATGGGTGAACTTCAACTCCCAAAATTCTGGGAGTAGAAGCCCACCCATCTTAAAGCTGCCAAGCTTGAGAAACAGTGGAATAGAACAATGTTCTGTTGACCTTTCCTCCCAAGGTGATTTTTGTTGTTGAAAATCTGTGAAGTTCTTCTCTTGATTCTTGCCAAACCCGTACATACATTGACCATACACTTCATTTGTTAGGATCCATGCCAATTAGTACCTTGAAAAAATAGATTATATTCTGGTAATTTTATGACCTAAATATAGAACCAGATATTGGGGGCTACATTGCTATTT